ACTGAGCCATAGTAAGAAAAAGGTATGATTCTGGCCCAAAAGTAGATAGTCCAACTACTGTAAAAATCCATATAGATGTTACTTAGCCAATAGAAACAGATGTACTGTACAGCCCAGCTACACCATTCCTGGAACGTAACTTCCCAGAGAACACCAGTTCAGTACATCACAGACACTTGCATGTGAGTGTTCATAAGGCCCAGTTACACCATTTCTGTGATATATGTTTCCCCAGAGGACCCCAGGTCAGCACACCACAGAGACAGTTGCATGTGCGTGTTCATCACAGTTCTAGTCACAGCAGCTGTTAGGACACCAAACACAGGCGTTATACAACAGGATGACATATAAATTGTGACGAAAATATGCAATGAAATTCTTTTATTTAGCCACAGAAAAGAATGAACCTGTCATTTGCAGGAAAGTGGATGTAACTAATAAAACTAATTATATTTATAAATTTAAGTCAGTTTCATATAGTGTTTTTTGTCATTTGTGGTTTATACATTTTGTATAGATTAAGAAAGTCATGCTTGCGTGTGTAACATAAAAGTAGAAGTATAGCTGCTGCAACCCACATGAACAGCTACGAAGGCAGCTAAACACAGAGATATCCCTAGTTACAGCACTGTGAGAATTTTTTCTTTGAAGATTTTTCTACAATGGTTATGTGGTTCTTAAATGGGAACTCTATTGGTGAAAATGATGTGTCACAATGGAAAAAGGTAGGAAAGTCCCCTCTTAGGGAGTGCAAAGAGATACAGGAGTAACTGCTGTGGGACAATGGTCTTGTACCCTGTCACTTGTATTATTTTAATAAAACACTGATTGACCAGTAGCCAGGCAAGAAGTATAGGCAGGGAAACCAGAATAGGAGAATTCTGGGGAGAGGAAAGGTTCACTCTGAAGTCTTCACAGAGGAAGCTAAACACAGAAGAAGCAAGATGAGAATGCCTCACTGATAAAAGGTACCAAGCCGCATAGCTAACACAGACAAGAATTATGGGCTAATTTAAGATGTAAGAGTTAATAAGAAGCCTGAGCTAATAAACCAACCAGTTTATAATTAATATAGACCTCTGTGTGTTTCTTTGGGATTGAACAGCTGTGGGACTGGGCTGGAAAGAAACTTCTGCCAGCAGGTAAGGGTCCAAAAATATGTAAATGTTCCTGTCAGAATTTCTGGGTCTCATTTGCTTCTTTTTTATATTATCTAAATTTCCTAATAAAAAATTGTCAAAGAGTTTTGCATATACAAACTGTTGAATATTAACTGTGCTTTGTTATTTCCAACTGAGAAAACTCATCTGTGCTCATGCATTTGCAATCTTCAAAAACAAAGGCTAAGGTGGCTTGAGACTTTTATTACTTAGTATGATAATTTCTCATGCCATGCCCACAATTAAAGTTATTTCTTGTGTAAAGGTCAGAGTTTAATGTAGGCCCCTGATACCCTATATAAGGACACTATTCATAGAAGAAATACAATGGCTTAGGACTTCTATTAATTTTACCACTGCTTTAAAAGAGCATGCCAAGAAAGAGTCAAATGATGAATTTCTAATTCACAAAGGCATGCTGGCTCCTTTCTGAGTAGAAGAAGCACGCAACACTTAGGTCTCACCTTTCCCTTATGTGCTGCCAGGAAGCTCCTACTGATTCCTAAACTGCTTACAAAAGTGATATTGGATTTATACTTTACATTATTTATCAACTTCTCACCTTTATTCATATTTTGTCACTGTACTTAATATCATTTAATTGGTGCTTAAGCAAAGTTACTTCACAGTGTGGGGAGATGGCTCATCTCATCAGTAAAGAGTACCTGCTATTCTTGCAGGCTTTCTGGGTTCAATTTCCAGAACCCAAACAGCAGCTCAGAAACATCTGCAAATCCAGTTCCAAAAGACCAATTCCTTCTTTGGGAGTCTATGGGCACCAGGCACACACATGGTGCATAAACATAAATGCAGATAAACACTCATATGTGTGTGTGAATGCATATACATGTATGTGTATATATAAGTGTATAAATATATGCAAGTATTTATTTTTTAAAAAGAAAAGTGAACTCAAATATTTTATGATCAAGACAAGGAGAGACTAGACACATTTTAAATAAAAAATATTAAGACCATCCCCATGCAAACTTAACACAAGGCAGAACAAAAATTCAAATGGAGAAAAAAAATCATGAAATTTATAGATAAATGAATAGAACTAGGCAAAAAAAATCATTCTGAATGAGGTACCCAAGACCAAGAAAAAACAAATATGGAATGTGTTTGCTTTTATGTGGGTATTAGCTGATAAATCATTAATACTGAGGTTACAATCTGTAGAACCACAGAGGTTAGGACTATGAGAGACAGATATATCTTGTTAGGAAAGGGAAATAGAATAGTGATGGATGGGGGGACTGGAATAAGAGGATCAGTGGGAGGGAGAGAAGAACGGGAGTTAAGGGACGGAATATGGGAAGAGACAGCTAACATTAAGGACCGATTGAAGGTAATATGGCAATCTACTACAGTAGAAGTTTACTAAAATATATACATATAAGAAGGTGATCAAAAAAGATCACCAAATAATGGGCAGAGTCCCATCTGGCCATCTCTTGTAAACAAATGAAGTTTCTAGTACCTGAACTGGTTATATCAAATTGAGTTGTTAACCAATGGGTCCTATGGAAATCCCCAAACAACTCATGCTGTTGCCAAAAGTATAGGTTGCTAGGTGGCTCTCCACAAACACCAAGGTCCCATTGCTAAGGACAATATCCACACAACTCAATGAACATGGAGAGGTTGAACTGATGGCTACATAGAGCCTTCACCATTCCAGCATCATTAGTACTGGAAGGTTCTCTACATGCTACCAAAAAATAAATGTACACACCAACACAGCTACAAACCAGTGAATCAACTGCAAGATATGCTAATGCAATGGTGGCACAAAGCTTGTGAAAGTAACCAACCAATATTTGATTTGACTCAAGGCCTCTCCATGAACTGAGATATTAAACACCCAACACTGTTTGGGTGGCCACAAACCTGACACTAGATAGCCTGGTGACCTTGGGGAAAAACAAATACTAATGTTCTTTAAAAAAAGAAAAGTAGCAATAAAATGTCTCCTAACAACTTTCTGCTATACTCATAGGTCAGCACTTTGTTCAGCCATCACCAGAGAAAATCCCCTTCCACAGCAGATGGAAACAAATACAGAGACCCACAGTCAGATATTATGCAGAGAGTGAGAGATCTTGGAACACACAGCCCTAAATGGAATGTTTCATCAGATTCCTCCCCTCAGGATTCAGAGAACCCTGCAGAAGAGAAGGATGAAAGAGCATAAGATCCAGAGAGAATGGAGGACACTAAGAAAATAAGGCCTTCTCAATCAACACGAGCTGAGCTTATGTGAACTCAAAGACTAAAGGAGCATGCACAGGCCTGCATGGGTCTGCACCAGGTGCTCCGCGTTTATAATATGGCTTCCAAATTAGTGTCTTTATGGGATTCCTGAGTGTGGAATCAAGTGCCCTCTCTTGGGCTCTTTTCCTTCTGTTCATCTGTCTTTGTCCAACTTTGTTGAGTTAGTTTTTGTTTTATCTTTTATTTTATTTAATTATTATTCCTTAAAAGTTTTTTTTTCTTTTTTTCTCTAATGTCAGAGAGAACCTGGGAGGAGTGGAGGGACAGGAAACTATAATCAGGCTATATTACTTGAGAAAAGAATCTATTTCCAATAAAAGGGGGAAAGAGAAAATTGGGGTAGAAGCGAAAAGTGGCTATACTAACACCAATTCATATCTAGGCCTAGTGAAACAAATAAAACAAAATGGACACAAGATAGCTGCATGTTATGCCACTATTGCACAAAACAGCAAGACTCTTGTATGTATTTTGTTATTAAAATCACTGGAAATAACCAGACCACTTTAAAAGAATAATTTTGTTACTTACATATCTAAAATAAAACAAAATAATAAAACATTAATATGAATGTAAAATGTTTTAAAAGAATATTTTAATATTTAGTATTGCTCTTTGAAACAAACTTCCCATTAATTTAAACATCAAACTCTTTTTTAAAAAGCAACATTTTAATACAAGACATGTGCTCCTCAAACATTATCAACTTGACTGATAATGTATAATATCATCTGACCTCCAAATAGTCTGAAATTATACATATCCAAATGTGATTTAAGTAATTTACCCATACATACCAAGTGTACTTATTAAAAACTAATTCACAGGTATAAATACTGAATCTTGCCTAAAAGGCATCCATTTCAAAAGGTAAATAGAAATCGGAATAATATAAGTCAGCATCAGTGGTTTTGTGACAAAAGCATACCCATTACCCTATTCTTCATGACTGTAGGGACATAGGTGAATGAATGATCTCAATAGGACACAGCATTTGACACTGCTTCTTCTTCTAAAGCTCTCTTTTTTTCCATGGCACCCCTTCCAAGATGTCATTTTTATTAAAGATTTATTTATATATGTATTTTATTTGTACGAGTGTTCTACCTGGATGCCAAAAGAGGACATCAGATGCTGTTATAGATGGTCGTAAGCCACCAAGTGGTTGCTGGGAATTGAACTTGGGATCTCTGGAAGAGCAGCCAGAGCTTTTAACCCCTATGACCTCGACAAGTCATTTTGTTTATTTGTAATATAATGTACACATTACAAAATCTGAGATTTCAGATACCACTTTAATAAGCAATATACTTTTAGAAAATAAGTTTATAAAAATTGACAACAAAGGGCATGTCTTTAATATCAGAACGCATTTATGAAAAATAAAAAGTTCATGAAAGAACTATAGTTAAAAGTGGCAGACAAAAAGGAGCATCACAATAAGGTTCAAAAAGTTGGGATGACACTCATAATGAACAAAGATTTTCATTAAATCTACAGTGTTACAGTATAGTATACAACAAGACCTCTGCAGGGAATTCATAATAATGTGACCATTCCTACCTTATAACCAGGTCCTAATTGATGAACTGCAAATATCTGTGCCGGGTTAAGAGCTTCACTGAACACATACACGGCCCCAAGCTGACCACAGAATACCCTATTGGCATCAGCAGTTTCTGAAGATCCAAGAAAGCACTTGTCATAGCTCTATTTTTAAAAGTCACAAGAAATGAATTGTTATTTTTAAAAGACAGATCATTTAAGAATATACTTCTTCATTAACATAACTATGTTAAGATACCAATAATAGTGAAAGTACTGAAAAAACTATTTCCAGGTATTTCAATAATAAAAGTCAATGAACAAGTTTTAGAGAAAATAACAACAGTTACATAGGAGTTAAGCACACACCATCCTTCACATTCTCAGATTTGACCACTTTTTCAAATTGTAATACTAAAGACAAAGAGTTTATAATTGAATTCATACCTCAGAAGACAAATTATAAATTGTTGACTGAAGCAAAGTTAATTTCAAATTGCTAATATTCACAGCTGATCAAATTTAGAGAGGTTAAAGTGAATCAAGAGATAGACTTTATCAAATCTTGACTATAAATCCATAGTATTAATTTTTTTTAAATTCTTCTTAATTTCTCCACATGGATATACCACAGTTTTTTTCTGCACTAAATGATGGAGAAAATCAGCCTCTTCGTTTATGAGTAGGGATTATACAGGAACAAATACACAATAATGATTCAATCTGCTCACAATATCGTCCACTAAATGATTTCCCAAATTGAAAGTATGGCACACCTACATCCTTTCAATGCCAAACACTGAAGCCAGAAACAGTAGTTACTGCCCAGTGCCCTCCCTCAGGATATCCTGCACATTAATTCTAATAAAAACACCAATATTCAGCTATCAATATAGACAGAGCCACAGAGAAATCAATTAGTGAATAGACAGATCTATCAAATATGAAATCCCATTTGTGCCTCACACAATAATGAAATAAAATGTTAATGGAATACAAGAACTCATCACTAAATAGTCAAGTGTAATTTAAATTGTGTAAACTAAAAGTTATTACTACATAAGGAATTTGTATATGCCTAGGCTTCTCCATTTCTTGAAGGACTATCAGCGAATATAAAAATCTTTTGTCTTTTTTTTTGGGGGGGGGGATGTTGTTCTAAATACTGTCTTTTCAGTTTCAGTCAACAAAACTGCAGGGGCTTTCTTTATAATATGTTAGAGACTGCATCCCCCTACAATATCAGTGTGTAGGAAGAATCATATTTCTGTGTTCTTATTTGCCTGTGGTTGCCATATGAGTCTGTTGGGCAGGAAAACACATTTCTCCTATAAGGAAGGGCACAGGAAGGAACTTTCTAAGTTCTGTGAGTTCCAGGTAGCTTCTGTGTATAGTCATATTGATTTTCTCTTTGCTGTTGTGTCTTAAAAAAAATGTTCTTAGTGAAAATCCAGGAATCTTAGCTTCCCAATCATACAAAACAAGATAAAGTCTACTTGGCTGGATCATGACAACTTGTCACCCACAGATAGGAGAAAATGTAAACAGTACCATTCATTTAAGAGAAAACAGAACAAGAGAATACAACCTAACCCCTGACCTCCAAGGTATTAAAATTAAAGGAGATGCACACAAAATTTAGAAGTTTATTTTACTTGTTTTTTCTTAAAAATGAGTCATTACGACTACAACTTGGTATACTGAAAGAGTTGTGTATCACTGGCCTCAAAGATAATTTCAGCACTACAAACCACGTTTCACTTTGGCCCTAAAATGCCAGGAGAAAGGGAACACCCAAGCTACAAAAATAGCAAGCATTTTTGAGAATTCAACTCTATGTCTCCTCTATCTAGAATCAGTGTCACCTGCTCCAAGACAAACACACAAAGTGAAGCAAGTGTCTCTGTGTTTTGATGGCAAAACATCCTGAATGTGACCTGTCTTCTGTTTTCACAGTCCTTTTCCCTAACAGATTCCAAGCACTGCAGTCATATTGAGGTCTCTTTGTGTTTTTTTTTTTTTTTTTTTTTTGTGTGTGTGTGTGTGTGTGTGTGTGTGTTCGTTTGTTTGGGTTTTTTGATTTTGAGATAGTGTTTCTCTGTCTGTCCTGGAACTCTGACTGTTCTGGAACTCACTTTGTAGACTAGACTAGCCTCAAACTCAAGAGACCCAGCTGCCTCTGACTCCTGAGTGCTGGGATTAAAGGTATGTACCACCATACCTAGCCAAATTGAAGTTTTTACAGTATAAACTTGGGAAGCTTTTTGCCCTGAGTCAGATGGCAAGCCCAGGCCTATGTTTGCATATGAGATACCTATATGAACCTAAGACACCACATAACCTCATCATATCTTTAATTTTTTAAAATATCATTAAATCATGTGTCTGAAACAACTGCATACTATATTTAAAAGTTAAATATAAATTACGTTAATTAAAAATTAAATATAAATTAATAAAACCTTTCGAACAGAAATTTGCATTTTCTACAAAATAGTCATTACTTATATTACAATAGGAGAACATATTGTAAAATACATTTAAGAAATTTAGACTTACATCATTTGTGTTAACATGCCAAGCCATGTCACCATAGGATACCAGCTGGCCATTAACGTAACAACGGATCTCACTGTTCCTCCATCGATTGTAGATGTGGACAATGCTGATCATGTACCACTGCAATACAACAACTAAGATGTCAAATGTCACATGCAGTTATTACTGTCTAAAATATAGTCACAGCCTTTGCACTTCCCTACAAGAGGTCTCAAGAAGTTTGCATCTCATGGCCCTTTCTCCCATTTCTTATGCCCCTCATGAAAGAAAAGGCAAGGGAGCTCCCAACCCACAACACTGACAGACAGAAAAAGAAGTGACTGCTTATGAACTGATGGAAAGGCACACAGCATTTGAAGGCAATCACAGAAAAATCACGATGAGTGAATACACTTCATATGTAACGCTCAGGATGAAAAAAAATGCTCAATGAAAAAGGGGAAATAATGTTGAGAGCAAAAGGATGCACAGAGCCTTCATGAAACCTTCCTCTGTTTAGATATCACAGCATCGTAGCAAAGTGACCTTTTGCTTTCTGCACAATGGTTTATCCCTAAATATCATGGGAAAAATGAGATTATATCATAATAGTTTAGAAAAATAACTGGCAATAGTGCTGAAGTATAGCTGCCAGGCAAGTGTGGATGCCGATAAGCCTACAAAGCTTCAAAAAGGAAACCATCAGAGCCTGAATTAAGAAGACGAATACACTGAGTCAGAAAACTAGGAGTTTTCAATAGTTTCACTTAAATGGATTGATAACATTAACTTATTTAATAAAATATGATGATCAGGTCTAGAGTTTTGAAACAAACAATTTATTTAGATCATAAGTACAATACTTAAGATATATGAATACATGAATGTATAAATTAATGGTTAAGTTAATCTCAGTTAAGTTATATTTATTTTTCTGTTTCTTGAGATGATCAAAATGTAGTAGATAGAAGTGAGTTTTCACCATTTCAAAGGACCCCAATGTTTGACATATTTTTATGTTAAAAACAGTAACAGAGTAGAGAAGCATACTGACACTAATCATATATACTGTGACCTATATTCAATTTTGAGATTCAAAAACTGGTACACAAAAGTGTACAACAAGAAATAAGAAAAAGTACATATACTGATACTAAGAATTCCTGAGGTTATATATTACAACAAAAGAAAATAGGTAAAAATGTAACACATTTATTTACACAAATATCACTAGAAGCCATGCACTGACCACTTTTTACAAATGAGGTGACATGCTAATAGTTACACTCATTTTCACAGGGTCAGACACCTCTTAAGTGGTGCTGCTGGGTGCACGGCTTTTTAGGAATGGTCAGTAACCCACTCACTGTGGTATAGTTTTCCCTTATTGAAGTATAATAAGAATGTAACTACCACAACTCCTGGAAAATTAAGAAAGAAAAAATAGATGATTTTTCTATAATAACAATAAAGCCAAATAATTATAATTATGATTTTCAATTTTGAGATTTATTAGAATATTTGCAAAAAAAATTGAAGCTGAATCAATCCCTGGGACCTACTCCTCACAAGAGCCTTTGCCATCCCTGTATTTAAAATGCAAAAAGAAATAGGAGTGTGTTTTCATAAGCAAACAGGGAAAAAATAAAATGTGAACAAATGGATTGAACTGCTTTTACTTCACTAATAACAATTCCACCTGCTTGTTTCTTTTTAACTTCTACCTGATTTTTGGTATTGTTATACTTTATTATAAAACTTTCTTATAATTTCCATTAAGGATCTGGGTGGATGGAAAGGGGAAAGGATCCGGTAGGAGTTGGAAAAGGGAAAACCATGATCAGAATATATTATGTGAAAAAATGTATTTTAAATAAAAAAGGAAACTACAGTATTTGTCAAAAATATATATTTCTAACATTTGCAATTCTAATAATCTTTATTTATATCCAGATCAGTGGTTCTCAACCTTCTTAATGCCACGACTCTTTAATATACCTCCTCATGCTGTTACTTCATTGTTACTTCATAACTATAACTTCGCTACTGTTGTGCCCTATATTGTAAATATCTGCTATGCAGGACATCTGATAAACAGCCCCCACAAGTTGAGGAGCACTGACCTAGACTGATGGCACTTATGTCTTTAGAAAGCAAAAGCTCTTTTTATTTAAGTATTTTTTCTTGTGTCTCCATGTGTGTCAGTGTGAAGGTGTTAGATCCACTGGAACTGGAGTTAAAGACAGTTGTGAGCTGTCACTGTATGTATTGGGAGTTGAACCTGGGTTCTCTGGAAGAAAAATAAGTACTCTTAATCTTTGAGCCATTTCTCTAGATTAAGTCATATTTTTATATAGCTACCCAATTTATTGGTATTCTACTGAATTCAATACTCTGACAGTCATTTGAAAGAATAAAAATGAATCCATAACAAATTTTAATCAAAACACTCACTAAATGGGCATATAAATGAATGGCGAAGATTTAAAAAGAATAATCTTTTGATACAGTGCTGCCTAGCATGCATGAATCTCCTTGGTTGAATCTCCAGTGAGGAGAGGAGGGAAAAAGGGAAGGGAGGGAATGAACCCAGAAAAAGATGACACCGAATTGTTACAAGGTAGAACAATCTGAGAGGATGTGATATAAAAACTAAGAACTGCAAAACCACAGAGAAACCCTGTCTCGAAAAACCAAAAAAACATGGACAAAATGTTTATTTTGTAGTTATTGAAAAGTAAATCATTAGCTTAAGCAAATGAATATCAACAAGAAGATGTCTACTATTAGTGTATAAAATAGTTTAAAAAGAAACAAATCAAGATGAAGAGAAAGCAATGTGAAAAAGATAAGTAGCAAATAATGAAATTTCAAAAGGAAATAGAAGTATTCTTAAAGACATAATACATAGTGCTAGAAAAGTAATCAAAAGAAGATGAAGAACATGCCCCAATTATTATGATGACAGACATCTAAACCAGAAGATGTCAGCACGTATGTGAATGTGGACCTGGAGAGAGGAAACTCAGTGTTTTTTGTTCTGAGGTTTGAGAGTGAAAAGGCACCCAAGTGGAAACATCTCACAATGGTGAGAAAACAAGGAAGACAGCAATGAAGAATAAGAGTACAAACAATTATGAAACTGAATAAAAATCCCAGTTTTTTTAAAAGAAAAACAAAGTTCTGTCCACTGTCACGGTCACATGCCTAGGTCCTACAGGTATGGTATTCAGTAAATATTCAGCAAGTTCTTCCTGGAAGAATAAGATCAGACTCAGCAAATGAATAAGCGTTGCGAGAAACCACACATAAAGGTAAGAAGAAATCACAGGAAAGAGAAAGCAGTGAAAGGCAGGAGTAAAGTTAAAGAACATTACAGAAGTCAAAGCAACAAAGTCCTGAGACAAGGCGAATGGCAACTGACATGATGTCCAAGGGAAGCGTCCTCTCTGCCCTACCTTGCGTGGTTGGAAATCATACTTCACACAGTGCTGGAAACCTTTGCCTTTGGACTTCAGAGATGTGACTATCAAACAGTTGCCAACAAAATGAGCAGAGTAACCAACTCCTTTGCTAGTACGAAAACTGTATTAATACAAGAATATAAAAACTCTGATTAAAAGAAATATACCAACACCTACTAAAACCTTACACAATGAAACTTAATTCTCCGTATAGTCATAGTTAATACATTGGCCAAATAGAAATTTTAAAAAACATAAGGTTTATAAATAACTAAAAAATTAAGGAATTTAACTCAGGAATAATAGACCATGAAAACTTTTTATACTTAAATGTAAAATATCACAGACATAAAACAAATTAATGATCAAGGTGTCTGCTGGAAAGACTTCATCTACTGTGAAGGACCATCTCCACTTAGCCATTCAAAACTCACTTCAACATAGTCCATGTTGTTAATAACAACTTGGTCTCAAGTTTTCAATGTTTATCAAAAGATCTTACGAAAAAAAGCCAATTTTGTAATTATGTGAGTAAACAAATAAGTATGTGTATTTCAGTCTAAGTAAGAATATGAATACTAAACAATCTTATTTAGATTTCTTTCCTGGCTATTATTATTTTTAGCCCCTAAGTCTACTTGTCGAAAAGAAAGACAGCGTAAACAAACTCTAGTGGGAATTGGTGTCTTAGCTACTACATCTGATACTAGATGATCCCGCTAACAGATTTATCTTTGTTTCTTATACTGTAATGGAAGATAAAATAAAAAAGACACTTACCTAGAATTGATAGTAAATAAATAAATATTAACTATATGGGTTTTACAGTAATATTTAATTTCAATATTCAAATTCATAAAAACAAAAGTCCTATAATTAAGCATATTACTTACCAATAAAGATAAGGTTTATCCTTATCAACATTAATGTTATTTAATGGATCCATACGAAACCAAGTGTTGAGAGTGAAGCCATTCTGATAAGGCCACTTTGCAATAGGAGGCAATGCAATTGCCTACAAGATAATGAAGCAAGGTAAATTATCAGTTAATGAAATACAAAGTCAGTACAATCAAACTTCCCTTCTCCAAACCTTCCTTTAATTCCAATAATGTAGACACATTTGACTACTGACATTCCTCAGAATTTTCTGATTCAGATTCTCTATGCTAGTTTTTGTAGGACTTCATTTTGTTAATGCAGCTGGAATAGTTACAGCCAGGAAAAAACCTGCCCTGGAGGGTGTTAATGGAGTCAGGGACAAACTCTAAAGCACTGGAAGCCAAACATAACAAGTAAACAGGGCACACGTGATGCATATTCACAATCCCTGCCTCAGGAAAGCTGAAGCAGGAAAACTGTGAGGTAGATGCCAGAGTTACATAGCAAGATTGTCTCCAACCCCATCCCACAACAACAACAACAAAAAAACCACAGACACATACAATATGATTTTATTTTCATTCATAGGACAATCTAGAAAGGACAAACTAATAGAACACCAAATAAACTCAAATAACAGAATAATAGGTAAAAATAAATACATGTGTTTAAACTTACCGCAGCACTACACCCAGGAAAATTGAAGAATGTATCAGGACCATGTCTTTGTGGCATCTGATTAAGAACTGACAATAATTTTACTGCATGCCTTGGCTAAGAAAACAATAAAAGAAACAATAGTTGTACAAAGTTAACAATAATACCTAATAGAACACTTTTAATCAATGGACTGTATGGTAACTATTGAGAAAATTGTATTGAAAAGATTTACTAAATGGTTTAAGAAGGAAACAGTTATCATTACTAGTTCAAATACATGGCTCTCCAGGGACAATCTGTTCAACAGTAATTATTAATGTACTGATATTGAAGACTCATCCCTCTGACCACAGCTTACCCAGATTCCACTTTCTCCTCGAAGCATGCTGAATAAAAGCTTCAACTCCTTGACAGTGATGCTGTAGCTGGCAAGAACCCCCAGCATATCAACCAGAAGATCTGCAGAGGAGAATAAAGTTATTCTGCACTCTAGGCATGAGCACATCTGGCAAGCAACTATATTTTGAAAGGGGCAGAGAGTTACCAAATGTTACTTCTATTTTAAAAAATCTAATATACCTAAGTGTCCTCATGAATGCTTCTTCGGATTCGTGATGCAGACAGAGAGATTTGTTACAAGTAGGAAAAGGAAGGTAAAAATATTTAAAGGTACCAAGACAGCATTGAACAATGGCTATTTTAAAACTGGCAGCTGACCAACAAAACATGGTGGTGAACCATTTAACTCTAGGTTAATATACAATTTTAAGAATTTACTCAACATGAAGGACTATTCCAAATGCTTTATATGTACAAATATCAGAAAGCCTCAAATCAGACTATGAGTTTTAAATATCATCATCTCATTTTAAAATTGGGCAAATTATGGCCCAGACTATAACTTAGTCACACTGCTCAAAAATGCATGCCCAGCAAACATCAAAGTCAGCATTCAAACCCAGACAATTATGAATTCTCTCACTTTCACTCACTAATCTACAACTAGATCTAATTTAAACACAATGCTACTGATTTTCATTATGCTAATGTAATATTTATGAATCTGTAACAGACACAAGACAACAAATAATGAGAAAAATCAATCTTGTATCTGATAACTTTCCCTACATATCATGATTAATACTTCTCTCAATATTCTTTGTAAAAAATTAATCAACTAAATATTGATACATCTCACATTCTAAAGTGCATATATCATATACAAGTTAATAAAAATACAAACATATATATACTTACATATAAAAGTTATCAACAATTGATATTAGAAAGTAAATTAGAAAATAAAATCCATATTGTCAAATACACAAATTAATGACTGGAATTTGAAAAACTAAAATATATATTCAAAATTAAATATGGTTATCTTCAACAATAAATAATTCATTATTTTTTAATTACCAGCACAATATGTAAACAATCTCTATGGTAAAATTTTGACAGTGTGTATGCCATTTTTGAGAGATCTTTAAATGAAGCAAAATATCTCATTATTTAAATAATTAAACTGTATAAAAATGTTAGTGCATAAAATTAGGCTTGTTTCTAAGAGAAAAGTCTATATAAAAATCAAAAATCTTAAAAGCTGGAACTTTTCAGCTAAAATATCACTGGCAATTTCCTAAATGATTACAAAAATACTTTGGAAAAATATCAACTTTATATTTATAATGATCAGGATAAAGGAGACAAAATTTGTGGTAAGTTACTTTTTAAATTTTTTTATATATAATACATTTTGTAGATGACCCATAACTAAGCAGTTCAATTTAATTATGGCAGAAAATTTTGCAAACACGAAAATTTTAAAGAGGAAAAAATTACTACTGCTATAAAAGTTTTTATCAATTTACTACAAATATTTAATCACATTTTAGTGTTAAGTTAAATTGTTAACTTAAGAGTGTCTATAAACTTCACACACCACAGCACTCAAAGAAGACACTCATCTATTAACAGTATGCTGATACTCATTCAAACTTTCAGTAAAGTATGCAAATTTTAATTTCTCTATTTTAACTAGTTAAGCAGCATGTTTGTTTTTGTGCTTTTCCTAAACATTCATTCCCATTTTTCATATTCTTTGGCTATAAGGCCCTTTTGGAAGGAAATGTTACCAAAAAAAAAGAGAATTTAGGAACTTCAATTATAACAACGAATGACTTAACAAGCCATCGCTGCTTTCTTATTTGGGCACTCATGAATTAAGTTCCAGTAACTACTATAAATTATGTATATAATTCTGCTCACTCTAAAACTATTCTGTAAAGTAGCAGCCAGATTATTCAAAAAAAGAAAAAAAGAAAAAAAAAGCTCCTTATCAGGATTGAAAGATCATATGATTTTCTAAACAATGTATACTATACCACCATATTTACACACACACACTCACATTTATACAAATTCCTGTAAAATAACTCTAAATATTGAAAGTAATGCCAAGTTTAATCTCATTTTAAGTCATGCTACTATTATTACTCCAAAACCATGATCAAGAGAAATACATGCCACTTTGGACACGATTTCAAAATAATTAGAAAACCAAATTCTGAATTATTTCTTTTAGATATAAAATCTATTCTTATTAATCTCACTTATTAATCACTCTTGTTCATTTCCTTCTTTCATAATGTTTTACTCTGAAAATTTAAAAATTAAAAGTCCATATGTGAAACCATTAAAAACTTCCCTGTGTCTTAACTATTTGTAAGAGCTAAATATATTACTGTACAGTCAAATTAGCCCTTTGGGAATTTCAGAATTATTTTTATATCAGAATATACGCTTAACATCTATTTCTTTTTAAACAAACAAACCAAAACAAAACAAAGCCCGATTTTTCAAACTCTACTTATGTTCTAGAGATAACTGCTGCTGTGGGGTTGTCAGCCAAACATTTCTTCTGAAACACATTTAACTACAGAGGAGACTCACCTGCAGAAAGCTAAGAGTTAGCAGTAAAAAAAAAATCCAAGATTTCAAGAGTATTATTTCAAATAATATAATAAGCAAAATAAACCCATTTTATATACATTTTATATTCTATTTAACAATATGTACTTATAGTGATAGGGCAAGGCTCACATATTTGAATACTTGCCCTCCAGTTGGTAGAACTGCTTGGAAAGGAGTGGAGGCGTGGCCTTGTTAGAAGAGGTGTGTCAGTTGGGGTCATTAGTGTGTCTCTCTCTGCCTCTAACTTGCAAATCAAGTTAGGAGCTCTCAGCTGCTCCTACTGCCTTATCTTTGCTCTCCCATCATGGACTCTAACCTTCTGAAACTGTAAGTTCAATAAAACATTTTTTTCATTAGCTGCCTTAGTTGCGGTGTCTTAGCACAACAATAAGAACTCAAGGCTAAGTTTAACAGAGAAGTGTCCTCCAAAAATATGAAGGCAAAAATAGATATGTCCTGCTGATTCTTCAGGTTCCAGGTGCAGCAGACTGGAAAGCCATAGAGCTGCAGTAACTTGGTTAATGGCTCTGACCTACATATTGTGGTATTTTAAATACCGCTTATTTTTTTTTATAATCTTCTATTATACTTAATTCTTCATAGTACTAAGGCTTTAACAAAACTTAGGGGAGAAATCTAGTAATTATGTTTACCTAGTACAATTCTCTTTTCTCTTCTAGTCTGTACATTTCCATTAGCATAAAAGGCAATTTGTCCATATGTTCCTATTTATTTCTTTTAAATGAAGGCAGTTTCTACATGTTTTCACTGTAAAATATAAAGTAGTACATGAACCCTTATAAATATTTAAATCTTAATTTTCTGTCAAGCCATGCGATACCTGCAATCATGTCGTCGACAGCACTCATTTTCAGCAGTACTTGCTCAATCAGTCCCACTTCTGTGCTGGTCTGTAAATTCCGGACACTTTTTCGTAAGATGGCTGTAAACATGCTCCATATTTCTGCTTGACATGTTACATCACAGTGCTCCAAAAGCTCGGTCATGCATGTTATGCTCTCAGCATCCTGGATAATAAAGTTCATCTCCAAATCAAATTCCCCACCAACCAGCTGAAAGTAAATAGGAAAAACAGAAAAAAAAAAAGGTAAGTAAAAATGACATGGAAGGTTATTTACAACATTAACATAGAACAATACCAAATCATCAAATATCAAGGAAGTATGGAGACTAAAAATTTTCTAAGTCATCTTGCATAAAGCAAATTTTGATCAAAGTTTAAGAGTTATAGATATAAGAAATGAAACAGCCAAACAAGTCTCATTTTTGCAGAGACAAGAAAATTTACTTTCAAATCTAGAGAAACATAGAAACTACAGCAAATAATTACAGGGTGAGATTCAGGAAAAATTCCCATTTAAAAATATCAGAAATGATCCACTATCTAAAGATAGATATTAAGACAAGTCATTTTCATTTTTTATTACTGAAGTTATAGGTGGAAAAAACATTGTAATAAAAAATAGCTTTGTTCTATTTCAACATAGAAAATGAAGAAATATAAAATTAACAAAAGAACAACTTACAGTAAGTGTTGAAACATTTAAACAATAATTTTTACAAAGAAATATGTAAGGCTTTACAATCTTCTAAGCCATAAAATTAAAAAAGGAGAAAGTTAATTTACTGTCAACATTATAACTTGTGACAAATACTCAAAAATACTACTGTTCCCATCAACATGCTAATTTAAAGACCATTACTAGCCCCACTAAATGCACAGTACAGATGAACACACAGAATAAAATTCTATAATGGGCTTACTCTTTGTTGATCAAATCACATGATTTATTACTGTGGTAATAATAAAATAAGAATGGCCCTCATAGGTGGCATTATTAGAAAGGATGAGGAGGTGTGGCCTTATTGGAGGAAGTATGTCACTAGGCATGGGCTCTGAGATTTCAAAAACCCAAGCCAGGTCCAGCAATTCTCTTTTTCTGATGTCTATAGATCTAAATGTAGAACTCTCAAGCTATTTCTCCAGCACTATGTCTGCCTGTGTGTCACCATGCTTCCTACCATGATGACAAAGAACTAAATCTCTGATACTGTGAACAAGCCCCAATTAAAGCTTTCCTTTAAGCTTTAAGATTTGTGTGGTCATGGTGTCTCTTCACAGCAATATAACACTAACTAAGACAATAATACTCAACTGAAAGCATTATTTTTACTAAACAATGATAACCTGGCTATGCTTTTAGTCTGCAGAATGAAATATTTAGAAAAAAATATTTTTTAAAACTTGATATATTTGAAAATATTCATTTGTTCATTCAATAAGCATTTTATGTATTAACTGTTTTAAGAACTATTATATACTTTTGACAAGAAAAGTTTCACACACTAACAGTGGTAAGTTCCAGGAAGAGGTGAGTACATGTAGTCTCTCTTATTCAAAACCAGCAAGACTATAAAATACATAAAGCATAAAGGCTAGCTTAAAATAAGGGTTACTGTAAAGTGAAAACAAAGGAAACGAAGGTTAGGAACAGAGAGAAAATAAAACTCAATTTTAAAAAAAAAGAGACTCATTTTGTAAAACTCAAATTAAGAATTCATTTCTTACAACTGAAAGGTACCCCAAATCTAGATAAACAGCGATAACGAAGCAAATGATAATAGCACCACAATCTCACCTAGCATGGCGTCAGTACTACTAATGTCTTCTAAGAGTCTATTATCATCTTTACTTTAGACACAAAGAATCTCAGGCACAGAATGAAATAACTTGAAGATAGTCATAACATAGGTGAGAGCTCCAGGTCCAACCGCAAGACTTTCTTTATAAGAATTTGTATAAACAATAAAATCTCATTTAGGACTATTCTACATCATAAAATTAAACATATTTCTCAGAAGCATCACCTTTCATGATACCCACAAATAGCATAAAATATCTTGGGGTAACTCTGACCAAGGAAGTGAAAGATCTATTTGACAAGAACTTTAAGTCTTTGAAGAAAGAAATTGAAGAGGATACCAGAAAATGGAAGGATCTCCCTTGCTCTTGGATTGGGAGGATCAACATAGTAAAAATGGCAATTCTACCAAAAGCAATCTATAGATTCAATGCAATCCCCATCAAAAGCCCAAGAAAATTCTTCACAGACCTGGAGAAGACAATAATCAACTTTATATGGAAAAACAAAAAACCCAGGATAGCCAAAACAATCTTATACAATAAAGGATCTTCTGGAGGCATTACCATCCCTGACTTCAAACTCTATTACAGAGCTACAGTATTGAAAACAGCTTGGTATTGGCATAAAAACAGAGAAGTCGACCAATGGAATCAAATAGAAGACCCTGACTTTAACCCACAAACTTATGAACACCTGATTTTCAATAAAGGAGCTAAAAGTATTCAATGGAAAAAAGAGAGCATCTTCATCAAATTGTGCTGGCATAACTGGATGTCAACCTGTAGAAGAATGAAAATAGATCCATATCTATCACCATGCACAAAACTCAAGTCCAAATGGATTAAAGACCTCAATATCAGTCCGAACACACTGAACCTGATAGAAGAGAAAGTGGGAAGTACTCTACAACACATGACCACTTCCTACGTATAACCCCAGCAGCACAGACATTAAGGACAACATTGAATAAATGGGACCTCCTGAAACTGGAGAAGCTTCTGTTTAAGCAAAGGACACTGTCACTAAGACAAAAAGGCAACCCACTGACTGGGAGAAGATCTTCACCAACCCCGCAACTGACAAAGGTCTGATCTCCAAAATATATAAAGAACTCAAGAAACTAGACCGTAAAAGGCTAATCAACCCAATTATAAAATGGGGCACTGAGCTGAACAGAACTGTCACTAAGACAAAAAGGCAACCCACTGACTGGGAGAAGATCTTCACTAACCCCGCAACTGACAAAGGTCTGATCTCCAAAATATATAAAGAACTCAAGAAACTAGACCGTAAAAGGCTAATCAACCCAATTATAAAATGGGGCACTGAGCTGAACAGAGAATTCTCAACAGAAGAAGTTCAAATGGCCAAAAGACACTTAAGGTCATGCTCATCCTCCTTAGCGATCAGGGAAATGCAAATCAAGACAACTTTAAGATACCATCTTACACCTGTCAGAATGGCTAAAATCAGAAACACAAATGATAGCCTTTGCTGGAGAGGTTGTGGAGAAAGGGGTACACTCATCCATTGCTGGTGGGAATGCAAACTTGTGCAACCACTCTGGTAAGCAGTGTGGCAGTTTCTCAGGAAATTCAGGATCAACCTACCCCTGGACCCAGCAATACCACTCTTGAGAATATACCCAAGAGATGCCCTATCATACAACAAAAGTATATGCTCAACTATGTTCATAGCAGCATTGTTTGTAATAGCCAGAACCTGGAAACAACCTAGATGTCCTTCAATGGAAGAATGGATGAAGAAAGTATGGAATATCTACATACTAGAGTACTACTCAGCAGTAAAAAACAATGACTTCTTGAATTTTGCATGCAAGTGGACGGAAATAGAAAACACTATCCTGAGTGAGGTAAGCCAGACCCAAAAAGAAGTACATGGGATGTACTCACTCATAATTGGTTTCTAGCCGTAAATAAAGGACATTGAGCCTATAATTCGTGATCCTAGAGAAGCTAAATAAGAAGGTGAACCCAAAGAAAAACATATAGGCATCCTCCTGAATAATAACCTTCATCAGGCGATGAAAGGAGACAGAGACCCACATTGGAGCACTGGACTGATATCCCAAGTTCCAAATCAGGAGCAGGAGAGAGAGCACGAGCAAGGAACTCAGGACAGCAAGGGGTGCACCCACACACTGAGACAATGGGGATGTTCTATTGGGAACTCACCAAGGCCAGCTGGCCTGGGTCTGAAAAAGCCTGGGATAAAACTGGACTCTCTGAACATAGCAGACAATGAGGACTACTGAGAACTCAAGAACAATGGCAGTGGGTTTTTGATCCTACTGCACGTTCTGGCTTTGTGGGAGCCTAGGCTGTTTGGATGCTCACCTTACTAGATCTGGACGGAGGTGGGTGGTCCTTGGACTTACCACAAGGCAGGGAACCCTGATTGCTCTTCGGGCTGACCAGGGAGGGGGACTTGATTGGGGGGGGGGGGAGGGAAATGAGAGGCGGTGTCAGGGAGGAGGCAGAAATCTCTAATAAATAAATAAATAATTTAAATTTTATGATCAACATTTTCAATTTATGACACAAAATTCAATGTTAAGTAACTAGCTCCTCTGATTAATTTTGATCTTTGATTGAACTATTCTCCAGTTGCACTTCTGTATCTGAAAGAACCTTTCTGGTTTGTTTATAAAAATTATTTGCAAAAGTGATTAAGCGATTGACTCTCGATTCAAGCTTCCTGCATTCAGATCCAGTCTAAACCACCTACTGGCTATATGACCTCGCTAAAGCTACTTCTCTAAACCACAGTAATTTAACAGTGATTGCAGGTCTCTTAGCATGGAATCTAGAGAGATGGCTCTGTTAGTGAAATGCTTGGTGCACAAACATAAGTATTTAAGGTCAAGATTCTCTAAATTAAAAAAAAAAATCTGAGCATGAATGTGTAGACGAGCACCTCTACAGGCAGTCTAGTTGAAACAGTGAACAACAAGTTCTGTGAAAGATCTGGCATAAAAACAAACAAGGTAATAGAACATTTGAAATCAGAACACAGGCGGAAAAGGCAGGCAGATTTTTGTGAGTTTGAGGTCAGCCTTATAGACACAGTAATACGGTGAGTTTAGGCCAACCAGGGGTACATAATGAGTCCATCAAAGAAGAAGAAAAAAAGTATAGATACAGCTACCCAGTGTCAGCATCAATATCCACACACTAGTGCACACATGAATATGTTCACATCCACATACTCACACACATACAGAAGTACAGGACAAAATGGCAGGCACAGTCAGCATTAGGTTGAAATTTGTTATTAGGAGAGCTAGAGCAACCCCAATTTTCCATGTAAAACATGGACTCATCTGACCCAATATAGATGAAGACCCATAAAACTGAGTCAGCTGGTCTTAAGTTTCTAGCCAACAG